TTTATATTCCTACCACATGTATGAGGGTTTCAACTTCTTTGCATCCTCACCGACACTCATAATGTCTGTCTTTTTGATTACAGTTATCCTAGAGGGTGTGAGCTGTGTGTCAGTCTTGTTTTGATTTGCATTTCCTTCATGACTAATGAGGTTGAACATCTTTTCATGTGCTTATTATTTTGGGCGTATTTTCATGAGCATATTATTTTGGAGAAACTTCTGTTTATATTCCTTGGCCATTTTTAATTGAGCTATTGTTTTACTGTTGGATTGTAAGAGTTCTGTATATATTCTGGATACAAGTCTCTTATCAGATACGTAATTTGCAAATATCTTCTCCCATCCTGTAGTTGCTTTTATACTTTTTCAAAGGTATTGTTTACAGAAAAAAAAAATTGGGGGACAGCTGGGTGGCTCAGTTGTTGGGCATCTGCCTTCGGCTCAGGTCATGATCCCGGGGTCCTGGGATCAAACCCCGCATCGGGCTTCCTGCTCCGTGGGAAGCCTGCTTCTCCCTCTCCCACTCCCCCTGCTTGTGTCCCCTCTCTCGCTGTCTCTCTCTCTCTGTCAAAAAATAAATAAAATCTTTAAAAAATTTTTTTTTAATTTTGGTGAAATCCAGCTTATTTATTTATTTTTTTTTTGTGGCTTATGCTTTTGTTGTTATATCTATGAACCACTGCTTAACTCAATGTGATGAAGATTTACTCCCGTGTTTTCTTCTAAGAATTTTAGTTTAAGGTCTTATATTTAGGTCTGTAATCCATTTTTTAAAAGAATTTATTTATTTATTTATTTGAGACAGAGAGAGAGAGAGAGAGAGATCACAAGAGAGGGAAGGAGCAGAGGGAGAGGGACAGGCAGACTGCGCTGAGAGCGGAGCCCAAGGCAGGGCTCGATCCCAGGACCCTGAGATCATGACCTGAGCTGAAACCAAGAGTCGGACGCTCAACGAACAGAGCCACCCAGGTGCCCCTAGATCTGTAATCTATTTTAAGTTAAGTTTTGTCTATGACGTGAGGGAAAGGATTGACTTCATTCTTGTGCAATATCTAATTGTGTCAGTACCATTTGGAAAGATTATTTATTCCTCATTGAATTTTCCTGGCACCTTTATTGAAAACCAGTCGACCATAAATGTAAACATTTATTTCTGGACTCTCAATTGTATCCCATTTCACTCTATATATCTATCTTTATGCCACACTTTATGCCGCACAGTGTACTTCATTCATATCACAAGTTGATTACTGTAGCTTTGAAGTAAGTTTAGAAATCAGGAAGTTTGAGTCCTCCTACTTCATTCTTTTGCAAGGTTGTTTTGATTCTTCTGAGTCCCTTGCGTTTATTTCCATATGAGTTTTTAAGATCAGTTCATCGGTTTCTCTGCAAATAAATTAAGCAGCTCATTGGAAACTTTTACTTGAATTACAGCTTATCTGTGCGAAGTTGTGGGATTTCCTTGGTGTGAACTCAAGTGTGAAACAAATGGGGTTGATTTAAGCATAAACCTGCTTCAAGGTTTGTGTAAAAGGCAAGCATGGGTTTCAAGACACTGATTCTAAAACTGGTTTGGCTTTTTGTGATAGCTGCAGGTTAGAAATCCTCTAGTACTTCTGTTTACTATTTTATGTTATCATTGATCCAATGCTCCAGTGTAAGGGTTTTCTACTAAAACAAATAAGCCAAAAAGTTAAAGCGTATCCTATGCCATCTTCCGTTACCTAGCATGGACTGGGTGCTTGCTTCGTGCAAAAAGGCATGTTCTTGTCTGATACAGCTAATGATCCCTGAAGCACTGCAGGCTGAGGCCCAGGCCTCTTTTTTTTTAAAACCCACCAGTAATTCTCATGTAGTCCATCAGGGAAGAAGAGCAGCTACATCCTTAGTGCCTCTCCCTTACCTCAGGTCTCCCCCCTCCCGTAGAGCCAGCGAGCCAAGGCTACTCAGTGTGGTCTATGAACTAGTAGTTGTTGTGGGGACTTGCTACAAATGCAGGACCTCAGGCCTCATCTTAGACCAGAATCTGCATTTTACCTACATCCCAGATACTTTATATAGACCAGAGGTTGGTAAACTATGGTCTACAGGCCAAGTGTGGCTCACTCCATTTTTTCGGGCCCGTGGTCACCGCCTATGATGGTAGTGCTTAGTGGGCGAGCCTGTGAGCTTTGGGAAGCCAGCTGCTCCCAAGTCTGCTCCTAGTCTGTCTCCTGAGCCCACAGCTGTGCCTGGCCTCTGCCCAGGGCCCTGCTGGTCACCACCTACACTTCGGGAACTCTGCTGTCAGCAGTTTCTGGGCACTGAGCAATAGAACTAGTTCAATGAAGTCACCTTGCCTCCCACCAGCTTTCAACTTGAAATGGTTGGGCTCTTGGAAAGGAGAGAGGGCATGCTGGGATCTGGGCATTCCTGGGATAGAAGGAAAGTAACCATCCTACCAGCCAGACCCCTCCCCCCACCTCAAGCTGGTTGCTCTTCCCCCTGAGATTGTCACCAGCTGAGGGCTACTGAGCACAAAGCATGTTCACCCACCGCCACCACCCCTTCCTCCCCCAGGATGGCCCCTCTCTGGCTGGAGATTTTCTCTTGTTACATAATAGTTATGTAATGTTACATCATAGTCTTGATTTTTGCCTCTTGGCCTACAGAGGCTAAAAAAATTTTGTACCCAGCCCTTTACAGGAAACATTTGTGGATCCTTGGTCTGTATATCAAAGTTGGAGCCACTTGCCCTTTGCAGAATGTGCCTCCCCCACACACGCACTGTGCCTGAATTGGATCTTCCATCACTGCCAGGGCCCAAGATGACTCTTACTCATCCCTTCGGGACCCAGCTTAGGTCACTTTCAGAAAAAAGTGCCTTTACTTCCTAGTCCTGGGGAATGGTCCTTTCCCTCTATCCCCAGAAAATCACCACCATCATAACACTTAGGAGATTGGATGTTAATTATGTTATGTACTTCTCTCCCATTCTAGGGCTGTCCTCGTATTTCAGTGTACATTAGTTGGTCTGATATGAGGCTCAGTAATTCACATTTCTAATAAATTCCTAGGTGATGCCACTGCTGGGCCACAGTGTGTCTGGCTGATTCCAAACTCTTCTTGAGATCTCAACTTAAATGTTGGGATCAAAGAGACATTCCTGCTAGCCCCACCTCAAGTGGCTCTCTCCTCATTCTTTTCTTCTGTCCCAGCCCCTTATTTGTTTATATCAGTAATTCTCAAACTTGTTGGTCTCAGGACTCCTTTACACTCTTAAAAATTACTGAGAACCCCAGAGAGCTTTTGTTTATATGGATTATAGCTATCAATATTAACCTTATTAGAAAAAATTTAAATGTTTATTAAATCATTTACAAAATCATAGTAAGCCTAATATACAATAAGATGAATGATATTTTTATGAAAAACGATATTTTCTAAAGCAAAAGAAGTGAGAACAGCTTATTTATTTATTTATTTATTTATTTATTATGTAGTTGAATCTCTTTACTATGTGACTTAATAGAAGACAGATGTATTCTTAGCTATTCTGCATTCAGTTTGTTGTTTTGGTTGAAATATAGAAGGAAGGGGCACCTGGGTGGCTCAGTCTTTTAAGCATCTGCCTTCGACTCAGGTCATGATCCCAGGGTTCTGGATGGAGCCCCATGTTGGGCTCCCTGCTCAGCGGGGAGCCGGCTTCTCCCTCTCCCTCTGCCTGGGGCTCCCCCTGCTTATTCTTTCTCTCTCTCCCTGTCAAATAAATAAATAAAATCTTTAAAAAAAAAGAAATATAGAAAGAAAATCTGGTTCCGCACATATATAAAACTGGAAAAGGGAGGAGTATTTTACAACCTTTTCAGATAACTGTGGATATTTGTCTTTAATACTACACCAAAACTGGACACGTGGTAGTGCTTTACAAGTAAGTTGGAATCTAAAACAATCTCGTACTTTTCATACTGTGTCTCGCTAAAATCCGTTGTCTTATCTTGAATGAGTGTCTTTACCCATGCATGCTTTTGTAACATCATGCACTTGTCCTTTGTTCACGGAGTTATGCAGACTTTCCAAATGTTGACACATTTTGTTATACAATATTTTAAAATCGTTTTTTACGAAGTCATGTAGTCAAAGGTCAACATTTATAAAAAGAACGCTTACTACTTTAGTTTCCTTATTGAAACCAGCTTCTTTTTTTTCCCTTTTTTTTTTTTGACTCTTTGTGTGCTGGTGAAGAATAAATACCATGACTGCTAATCTAGTTCAGTGCCACTGCCACTGCCTTGTTTTGTGCTAAGGTACCAGCTGCTTTCTCCATTGTTGCTTTTGACCCATCAGGGCAAATGTCAGCACAGTGAACAAGGCCAGTGACATTTTAATCTTACAATGAAAATAGCTTTGATCTCACGGATTCCCGGAAAGAATCAGGATTCCTAAGCATCTGTAGACTATAGTTTAAGAATTGTCAGTTTATGTCTTAATGCTGTAAAAAACTTGTAAGCATTTTATTTGCATGTTTACATCTTGTCCATCTGGTGTGCCAATAGTATTAAATTTCTGTGGAATGCCTGCTCTGTGTCCAGTCAGTAAATTTTTCACATGGATTGTCCCTGTATCCTCACAGCAACTCTGACAAATTATACCCATGCCATAGATGAGAAAGGTAAGGCACAGAATTGCACGACTAATTCAGAATCACACAGTTTGGAAAAGGAGTAGGGAATAACACTGATAAGTGGTTTGAGGCCAAATAGAAAACCCCAAACCAAGAGTTCATCCTATATTCCTGGGGGCAGAGGGGAGCCATTGATAGTTCTTCAGTAGGGGACTGGCATATTCTAATCTCAGTGGCTGAAATCCAAATACACCCTCAGCAGAACACACACATGCGAATTTGTGAGGTAAGAAAGAAAGTAAATGATAAAGAATCCTATGGAATCACTTTATTCCTATGGAATAAAGAATTGTAGAGAATTTCCTAAGCAGTATGTTTTTCCCGTAGGTTTTTTTTTTTTTTTGGTCATGGAATTGACCAAAATGTCGGACATGACAAAGCTCCACCAAGCTGTGGCTGCAGGAGACTACAATTTAGTGAGAAAGATTTTGAAAAAAGGTCTCTGTGACCCAAACTACAAGGATGTGGACTGGAATGACCGAACCCCACTTCACTGGGCTGCAATCAAAGGTGAGTGGGCAATGCCTGGGTAAAATCCATCCCTTTGAGTCCACCTTTCATGAAGTTACCAGTCAGTAGTCTGGGTGCGGTAGTGGAAAGAGCATTTCTTGAGAGCCAAATGGAACATGTCAACCCTGGCAACACCACTTACTGGTTGTAGCACTTTAAGCAAGTTATTTAATGTCTCTAGGCCTTAATTTATTCACCTACACAGTGGGAACCGTCATTATCTTGGAGTCTTGCGGTGAGGATTCGCTAAGATAATGGGTGTACATGCCTAGCACATAGTTTGCTCTCAATTAATATTAGTGCTCTGCCCTCTTGACCTCCAACAGGAAAGGTAGGACAGGGACTCTGTCATGTTCACTGCTGTATCCCCCACCCCTCACATGGCTCAGTTACGAACTTGGAGGGGGGTAGTGGCAAAAACTCAGCCATTGGGCTTGTCAAGGCCTTCAGCAATAGAACGCCATTGAAGAACGCTAAGGAAGAGAGTATTACAGTCAACTTGCTTTTTAAAAAAAAACTGTTTGGATTTCTGTATGGCGAACGGATTGGCTGGAAGCAAGACCAGCCGCAGAGAAATCAGCTGGGAGAGTTTTGCAGAAATTTGGGTACAAAGTGATGGTAACTGTACTGAAGCCCCTTTGAGTGAACGTTTGCTGTATGCTGGGCATCATGCTGTATGCATTATGTCCGTGATTTCATTTGTACTTCACAAGAACTCGGTGAGGTAAGTAATAACGTTTTTCTTTTTTTTTTAAAGATTTTATTTATTTTTTATTTATTTTTTATTTTTTATTTTTTTTAAAGATTTTATTTATTTATTTGAGAGAGAGAGAGAGAGCACATGGGGGCGAGGATCAGAGGGAGAAGCAGACTCCCCGCCGAGCAGGGAGCCCGAAGTGGGACTCGATCCCCGGGACTACAGGATCGTGACCTGAGCCGAAGGCAGTCGCTTAACCAACTGAACCACCCAGGCACCCGTAATAACGTTTTTCACTTACAAATGAGGGAACTGGGCCTCAGACCTTTGTTTCCTGTCTGCTATTCCACAGTTAGCAAGTGTTACTTACCGGCAGGTATGAGCCCACATCTTGTGGATGGAAAGCCTGTGCTTTGAATCTGGCTAACTATAAAGTAGGTGAGACTTAAAATATTTTTTATTGAGGTATAATTGAGATACATCATTATATCACTTTCAGGTATACAACGTAATGAAATTTTTGTAGATATTATGAAATGACCACCACAGTAAGTGAAGTTAAAATCCGTCACCACATATAGTTACAAAAGTTTTTTTTTTTTTTACAAAAAGTTTTCGTGCAATAACTTTTAAGATCTATTCTCTTAACAACTACCAAATATGCAAAACAGTATTATTAACGATAGTCACCATGCTGTACATTACATTTCCAGGACTTACTTATTTTATAACCGATGTTTGTACCCTTTAACCCCCTTTACCCATTTCTCCAACCCCTCAGCCCCTGCCTCTGGCAACCACCAGTTTCTTCACTGTACCTCTGACCTTGGTGTCTTTTTGTTTTTTTAGATTCTACATATAAGAGAGATCCTATGATATTTCTTTTTCTCTGACTTACTTCACTTAGCATAACGCCCTCAAGTTCCATCCATGTTGTTGCAAAATACTTGCTTTTGAATCACCACTGAGGCTGCCAAAAGGAGTGAGCCTTACCAGTGCCCACATAGGCATGCAGAGGTGACTTGGAAGGGGAAGCAAGATTCCTAGGAAGGGCCTGTGGGAATGAACAGGGGAAGGGAGGGTCCTGGAGGGAGTAGATGGAATACGTGCAGAGCCCAGGACTCCGGTGGGAGCAAGGTTCCTGAGGTAACGGTGGGGCTCTGAGTCCCAGGTAAGAGACGGAGACGGAGGAGAGGATGATGCTAGGAAACCAGGAAGGGCCTCAAAGCAAGTGTCATCCCTTCTTTTACACTATCCAGGCTACGTCTGGCCCTAGTCAGGCAGAGACATTTTAATCTTAACCTCCTCCTGTTTCTTCCTGGTACATCTAAGGGCACATGGAGGTGATGCAGCTCCTTCTAGAATATGGAGCCAGGCCCTGCCTGGTAACTGATGTGGGCTGGACTCCAGCTCATTTTGCCGCCGAGTCAGGCCATGTGAATGTGCTCAAAGTTCTCCATGCATTGCACGCCGCCATCGATGCCCCAGACTTCTTTGGAGACACACCAAAGAGGATCGCACAGATCTACGGGCAGACCGCCTGTGTGGCGTTCCTGGATAAGTAAGTTTCATTTACTTCCAGTTAGAGAAATGGTAGAGAAACAGGAGCCTGGGGTCAAGGTCTTTGCCGACTCAGTGGTCTGAGGTCCATGAAAATGAAACGAGCAAATTCAGCTGACTGTCGTTTCTGTTGTTTTTATTTCTTTTCCCTGAAATGACTAGCTTGGGTGGAAACTATATTGTTTTAGATTATGTGAAATCTACTGTTTTTCTATTATACCAAAGTTATAATTATTATAATGACACATATTTATAATAATTTTAACAATATGTAATTATTATAATTATTGTTTTAGACGATAGAACAATTATCTCAGATAAGAGAGGTGGGACACCAAATTTGAAAATGGGTCATGGTAGAAGATGCGTGGAGCCCCTTCAGATCCCTGAAAGGTATTCCAACCAGCTGTGTGACCTTGGGCAAGTTAAGCCACCTTGCTGACCCTCAGGTTTCTCATATTAAAAAGGAAGCTGGTGAATTAGGCTATCAGCTGTAAGGGCCCTTCTACCTTTTAAAACTTCTATTCATCTATGAATCTTCTACTCACACACTCACCAAAGACTTTTCTAGCACTTGTTAAGTTTTTTTCTCTCACCCACTGCATTCAAATAGAATTAAGTATCAATTATGTACTTGACAGGTACAGCTTTGGGAGGGATGGAAATAAAATTGGGGAATTTATAATCTGGTTGAGTTAATAAGTAATTCGTATAAGAGGCAGTAAAGTAAGTGAATGAGGGCAGCGTTGCTTGAAAACCAAAATGAGATCCATAGAAAATCTATCTATAGGGCGGTTCACAGTGGGAAGGGGGAATGACTGTATAATGCCCTTCTAAGAACGTGCAAATGAAGTTATCTTCCAGAAGTTAAACTAGAGTTGCTTACGATGTGATTAGATATCTGTAGAAGTAACCCAAGAGACTTTCTCTTAACAGTGGTATTCAAAATCAGGGGTGCCTGGGTGGCTCAGTTGGTTAATCATCTGGCTTCGGCTCAGGTCGTGGTCCCAGGGTCCTGGAATCGAGCCCCGCATCGGGCTCTCTGCTCAGCGGGGAGCCTGCTTCTCTCTCTCCTTCTGCTTGCCGCTCCCCCTGCTTGTGCTCTCTCTCTCTGTCAAATAAATAAATAAAATCTTTAAAAAAATGTTCAAAATCATAATCAAATTGATTTGGGGGGTAAAAGCAGAACCTTGAGTCCTGACTTGAAGACTCTTCTCCCCATTCCTGCGTCATCTCCTACATTCAGTGACCTCCATCCATTGTGGACCTCAGCATCTGCAACATTGTTCTCTGAACGTTTAAAAACTCTAACGTATCACTCTGTGACCATAGCTCCCTTTCTTCATTTTGCCAGTTCCTGGATCATCACACAGGTATTTGTGTGCATCAAGACCTCTTCTCATTCAACTGCTTCTTTCTCTCCTGATTGATCATCGGCCTGAAGGTTTCATGATCTCCCATCTGTCTGCCATTTGGACACCATGATATACTACTTCTTCCTCTCTGTTCGCATGATTCTTAAATTTCCAACCTTTTGTCCTCCTGTACCATGTGACCCAGAATTCCCACCCTTGTATCAGTCTCCATCTTCACTCCTGTGCTTGGTCTGGGAGAGAAAAACCCACGAATAAGTTCATGGGCACCACCAGAAGTTCTGGGATTTCTATCTTCAGCTGAGCCCTCTGAACAGTTTGGCAATCTGTCTCCCTGTCCTGCTCCTTCATTGACAGCTCACATCCCTGTCATACCTCAGCCTGTCCCTCAGAAAGTAGGCTTTCTACTGCATAGAGAATATTGAAGCCAAGGGTTTACATGTTTAAACCTCCTCCTACATGTTGTCTCTCCATATAGACCCCGACCTAAACCTTTATATCTCTACAATGTCATCATTCCTGTGTTCTTTGTTGCATCTTTTATTCTCCTGTATTTTTAGCTTTTTTCTATTCCTTCCCCCCCTCAGTCCTATCTGACCTTTGAACATGTTCAAATAGATCTTATTGAACAAACACACAAACACACAAACATTTAGAGGTTCTTTCTTCTTCCTGCATTTCTTTCTTTCTTTTTTTTAAAGATTTATTTCTTTATTTGGGGGGGGGGAGAGGGAGAAGGAGAGGGAAAGAATCTTAAGGAGACTCCACGCTGAGCATGGAGCCCTACATGGGGCTCGAACTCTTCCTGCATTTCTATGCTACTTAAATGTTAATCTATGTAATTTAATGTTAATCTATGTGGGTGTCTTCCTCATCCACCTTTGCACTTCTTTTCCATTTTGTACTGAAACAGTGCTCATCCAGGGAGATCCTTGTTGCGAAATCAATGGCCTCTTCTCAACTCACGTCTTACCTCCACTTAATTTGATATCTGATTACTCTTCTCTTTTGGCGTGTCTCTTTGGATAACGTTTTCTCTTCTCTGGTGCTATTCTCTCCTATTTCTCCTTTTACCTATCTGATCATTTCTTCTCATGATTTTCTTGAGCTCCTATTCTTGCATGACTTTTAGAGGCTGAAATTCCTGGGGATCCTGGCCTTGGCTTTCCTCTGCTGACTCTCTCTGCAAAAATCTCAGCCCCTCCCCAGTGACTAGTGGGTGGATGAGTGTGATACACGATCTCAGCATAACTGAAACAGAAGAGGAGAGGTTCTCCAAAGAGTGGGGGGGGGGGTGCCATTACCAGGAAAAGTGGGCAAGCAGAGCTGAGCCGACAAAACAACAAAGGTCAGCCACATCACGTGTAAGTCATTTCTAGTTATCATCATCTTCCACGAGGAACTTCCCTTTTGACAGTTAAGACGGTTCAGAGAGAAGGAATCCTGATTAAGGGGAAATTAATCTGGACCTTGAAAGACAGCTAAGATCTGACTAATGAAGGAGGGAGAAAGATTCTTGATTTGGAGTGAAGGCATCAAGTTGGAAATGTGCATAGGTTGTGTGTATGTGTGAGGACGTGCAGAGATAGTGGAGGGATGGGGGATCACTGAGGAATTTCTTAACACCCCCTGTTGCAAGCAGGTGGGCTCCCGGGCTAGGATAATGAAGAGAAAGGATATAAGAGAATTTCAGAAGAAACCTAGATAGTACTTGACAATTTTCTGAGTAAATCTCTCATTCACAAATATTTTTGAGCCCTACCATGCCCATGGCTTTGAACTAGATGTTAAAAGGGATTTAAAGATGACTCAGAGACAGTGCTGGACATTAAGTTCCCTGAGAGAGGAGGTACTTGTTTACATAAATAGCACTAATACAGCTAGAAAGTGGAAAAGGTCAAAAGAACAGGGCAGAGGAGGGGTACCATGTGGTCTAAATATGGAGCGGTCACTTCTAGCTTGTTGGGGGGATGCGGACTGAGGGGCAAACAGGTTTGCTGTCTTCTGATTGAATCGTGATTTTTGTAATGCTTTGCACTTTACTTCAGATGATACTTTCATATGCTTCCCCTTGTCCATGTGTATATGATGGTTTATTCACTTATTTCTCTATTATCTATTCTATTGTTCTGTATCTGTCATCTGTCTATATATCACCTAGCTATTCTTTTCATAAATCCATCTATACATACCATACATATGTGATTATGAGTGTTTTTTATTTCTTTTGTACATGTTTCCATACTTTAAAATCTTACACAATGGACAGACATGGTCTTATATTTAGGAAAAAATACAATTGGAAAAGAAATGAAGGAAAACCTCCACCTACTAAGATGCTGGTAGCTCTAGAACTTCCCACTCAGGGGCTTGCCATCGCCATCTCCATCTCCCAGTCATTTCTTTAGTGTCTAAGGCATCCCTAAAGGTGCCCTGGGAGATGCTCGAACTCGACCTTCTTCCTTCTCCCCTGGACTGCTGGCGTGGCCAGGCTGTGTGCAGAGGGCCGGAAGAGGGGCCCATGCTGCAGCCAGGACAGGTTCTCCCGGCCAGCGGGGGGCTGAGGGCCGCCGTGTTCCCCTTCTCCAGGGCTGAGCCCGAGTGCCGGGACCACCGGCGCACCGTCAGGCAGAAGGGGCTGCCTCTGGACCAGCAGGACGAAGACTGGGATGCCAAGAAAAGGGAGCTGGAGCTGTCTCTCCCTTCCTCGAATCAAAACACTAATAAGAAAAAGAATAAGACAATCCGAGGCCCCACCAGGCCGGGCCATCCAAAGGAGAGAAGAGCGTGAGAAGGAGAGCATCCTCGGCGGCTCTAGCACGCATGTCTGCTGCGGGGGACGGTCCCTGGACCAGAGTAGGAGTTGTGAGACCTGTGCTGTCCTTACGTGATTTTACTTATGACCATTATTACCCAGACGCCTTAACTACCGGTAGCTCAGGACCTGGCATTCGGTCTGAAACCTTGCTGGGTGTTCTCTAACCGAGCTGTTTCCTCCCTGCTGATACGCGCTATCCACAGGAAGTGCCAGAAAGGGCCGAGCATTCGCTGCTTGTTTGTGATCACCAGTCATTTGCCCGTCAGCATCCCCTGGCCTGCTATGTGCCATTATAGAATTTCAGGGGGGCAACGAAAGCGCTGTCCCTAAGGAAACTTGATGGTTTCAGTGAAAAGAAAAAAGTAACAACAAAATCTCAGAAATCTCCTACGTACTCAGTATAGTTAATCTGCGACAAAAATGATTTGTTGTCCCGTAAACCAAGCAAAGAGATGAACAAATGTAGCTCCCAGGTTCCAGCTACGATTTTCCTTCGTGGGGTTCACAATCCCAGCCTGGTCATTTTTACCAATGATCTCTTCTCCATAGGAAGGACAAGCTGGGCGATAGACCAACTCGGTGAGCAAGAACTGCGAACGCGGACGAGAATTAGTTCCATCCCACATAACGAATGAGAGGTAGCATAAAAACTGGAACATGTGATTACGGCCCTACTTGTTCAGTGTACATGTTAGGGAATCTAAATACAGATCAGGTATTTCCAGTGAAAATGTCGCATCCAACATGTGCTCTACATGTGAAATATGTACCCGATTTTGAATACTTAGGACAAAAAATGTAAAACAGCTCATTAACAATATTACTGATTACGGGTCGAAATGATCATATTTTGGATATTGGGTTAAATAAAATGTATCACTCACATGAATTTTACCCTCTTTCTCTCCACTTTTTAAAATATGTGGCTGCTAGAATGTTTAAAATTACATGGGTGGCTTGCTTTGTTTATTTGTTTGTTCGTTTTTTGGCCTATCAGACAGCCCTGCTGTAGAAACCAGAAAATATTTAGGGTCTCCACCAGGCAGCTGGCTTGGTGCACTCCAACTGGTTACTCCACACGCCAGGTTTACTAGTTTTTCTACCTAAATCAATGTCTTTGGGCACCTAACATCTTCATTACACATTCCTCAATTAATGCTTATGTTAATACAGGCCACGCTTGGTTTGAATTCTCTGAAATGAATAAATGCTTGAACCTCTGCTAGGAAAGTAGTACAGCTGTGGAGGATACCTTTTCTAGTTTGTATCCATCCTGAGCATCAATCCCCTTTCTCTGTGCTCAGCAGTTCCCAGAGGGGGTTCCAGCTTGCCGTGCTCCTATTGGTCCTCTACCGGCGTATGAACTTCGGAAGACACCTCACTCAAGCTGGACCAGTTGGATTCTTTTCCTGGGAGCCAGCTGGTTCTGGCATCTGAGACTAAGCTCTGGGTACAGGGGGGTCTCCAACTCTGTCCTGACCTGCCCCCCGGTGCCCTCGACATCTGCAGAGTCCATCCTCTCTCAGAGTTCACATTTCCCCCTACTGCTAGCCACAGCCCATGCAGAGGATTGCAGGTGGAGACGGGGTGGGGGTGGAGTGGGAAAAGGCCCAGGCTGCAACACTGAGCACCCCCGAGTTGGGAAAGAGAAAGGCCTGTAGTTTCCCCCCTCATCCTGAGACCCAGTCTTCTCAGGGGTCCCCCCACCCTCCACCGATGAGCCCCTCCCTCACTGGGCCCTCATTCTCCTCAGCCACATCAAAGAGTCCCCTCTCCACAATTTCCCCTCCACCCTCGGCACTGGCCACATCCTCAGAAAGGCGTAGACAGGGCCTGTGACTGAGCTGGGCTGGGGGTGGGGAGGTGGGGGCGGGACTGGGTTCTGCACTTCCCCTCTTGGCTGGGCCCTCCTGTGGGTAGCTACCTCCCTGTGCATCCTCAAGAGCAGAGGGGTCTCCACTCCCACCTCTGTCCTCATCATTGCCTCTGGCCCCTGAGCTACCCACAGCAGGTCTTCCTCTGGAATAATATGTCCCCTTGAGCACCAGCTGCCATGTGCTGGGCTGAAAAAAACAGCAGGGAAATCTTGTCCAGAGATTGGACATGGAGGGTGGCAGTCTCGCCTGGTGTGGTTAGGCACCCATTTCAGAGGAACATTGATGACCAGAGCTCATGGGGCAGGGCCTGGGGCAAGTGGAGGAACTGGGAAAACTTGGGGCTGAGCCTGCCTCCCAGGCCTGCCCCCTCAGCCTTGGTATGCTCCTTGGAGGAGAATTAATAGAGGCAGGAGCAGTATACACAGGTGGGTATTTTAACAGCCAGGTCTCCCACAATGAAACTGGCTGCTCTGGAGGTGTCCAAATGGAGATGGGTGAGCACATTTTGAGGATACACAAGACTTACCCATAGGAGTAAGCTGGACTCAGGAATTTCTGTGGCCTCTCTCAGATTTCACATCCCCACCTGGATAATAAAAAAAAAAAGGGGGGGGGAATTAAAATATTCTTCTCCTGGTAAGTTGAAAGGGAATCATGAGAGGATAGGCCAGTAGCATATAACCTTAGAAGTATGGAGTGGCTCATTCTACACAGGGCTGAGGAAGTGTCGGAAGGTGCTCCACAGAGACAGAGAGAAGACTGAGGTAAAAGATGGTGGGTGCGGTGGAGTGGGAGGTGGGGACACGCATGCACATGCACAGCTTTCTAGTTTCCAGTTCTGGTTCTGTACTCAGGAAATCTGTGGAACACTGCTTTCATAATAATATTTCCTCTTTTGCTTACAGCCTATTGAATTGATTTCTCCCCCTTTTTTTCCCCAGCAGTCTTTTCTAATAAGTACAGTATTTTATGATCATGGGCTTATGAGCCAAGTGAGCTTAGGTTTATATCCTCCTCTATGAAATAGGCAAAATAATCCTTCCTTCCTGGGGTTGCAGTGGGGACGAGATGAGATGTGTGGACTAACACTGCCATTGGCCCTCTGTAGCAGGTCCTTGTGATGGGTATGATGTTACTGTAGGAGTAGGCTCAGTTTTTTCCTAAGAATCCCAAAGCGGGCCAGGAATAATGCCCTGTATGGGTCAAATGAGGCTTTCCATTGTCCAGTCCATAAATACGCCCTGTCTAGTTTCATGGCATGGCTCGTAGTCTGTCTTCCATTGGCCAGACACACCTGGACCAAACTGATAAGTGTTTTCAAGGTCCTTTACTGGGGCCATACCCCCATGGCCTCCTGCTGTCCTTGCTGACTCCTCCTTTCATTGTTCATCTCATCGAGGCATTGGGAAGAGAAAGAGATTGTGCATAGTAAATGGGAACAACAGGAAGCGGACGCTATGAAGAAATTGCTGCAATGTGGATTCTGTACTAAGCATGTTTTGTATCTAATCTTCATGACACCCCTGCGAGACAGGTCTTACTATCCCCCAGTGACATCACAAATTGCGATTCTGAGAGGTTGCATGACTTGCACTAGGCCACCGGGCTAACACTACTATAGTCCTGAAAGCCTGCCTGGGTTAGAGGGAGTCCTAACCTTCAGGTGGCAGATCACGGTCAGGTTGCTCAACTTTTCTAGATTCCTCACCTGTAAGCTGAATTCTTTTTTAAAGATGTTATTTATTTATTTATTTACTTATTTGACAGACAGAGAGCAAGAGTGAGCATACAAGCAAGGGGGAGCAGCAGAGGGAGAGAGAGAAGCAGGCTTCCTGCTGAGCAGGGAGCCCGATGCGGGGCTTGATCCCAGGACCCTGAGATCATGACCTGAGCTGAAGGCAGACGCTTAACCGACTGAGCCACCCAGGCACCCCTCTAAACTGAATTTTAGCCGAGTTCTCAACAATTCTGAGAATTTGAGACAGAAGACATGGATCCTCCATTTTATTTTTTTTTAAGATTTATTTATTTATTTTGGGAGGAGGGGCAGAGGGAGAGAGAGAACCCCAAGCAGACTCCCCACCAAGCGCAGAGACCCACATGGGGCTTGATTCCACCACCCTGAGATCATGACCTGAGCCGAAAGCAAGAGACCGACACTCAACTGATTGAGCCACCCAGGTGCCCCTCAATATCCTCCATTTTAAATAACCCTCTTAGCAATGCTTACTCTCTTTTATTCTCTGTGTTATCAGAACCATGACTAGCTGAGGTGCTTGCTGAAGGCAAAGGAAATCCAGAATGGGTAGTGTAAATAGGTAGTAACAAATACCAACTATGAGCATGTGATCAGTTACTCTCATGAGTATTCCTCCTTATTTTGTTATGAACATGTTTGTCGTGTGTGTGTGTGTGTGTGTGTGTGCACGTGCATGTGCGTGTGTGTATGCAAAATGATACAGCCACTTGGGAAAATATTTTGGCAGTTTCTTATATAGTTAAATATATACTTAGCATATGACTCAGCAACTCCACTCCTAGATATGCACCCAAGTGGAATGAAACTTACATTCATATAAAATCTGTATGTAAGTATTCATAGCTGTTTTATTCATAATTGCCAGAAATTATGGGAACAATCTAAGTGTCCTTAACTGGTACGTGGCTAAACAAACTTGGTCCATCAATACCATGAAATAAGTATTACTTAGTAGTAAAAGGGGACAGACTGATACACACAACAACATGCGTGAATCCCAAATGCATTATGCTAAATGTAAGAAGACCAGACTCAAAGGCCTGTTTGAATCATTTATAGGACAATCTGGAAAAGACACAACTAGGACAGAAAACACCAGTTGTTGCCAGGGACTGGAGATAGAGGGGAAGGCTATCTCCAAAGAGGCACAGGTAAGTTTTTAGGGTCATGTAACTGTTTCATATCTTGATAGTTGTTGTAGTTGTGTGATTATATGATACACTAAAAAATATAAACGTTCCTGTATGTAAATTATACCTTACTTTTTTTAGAGGAGGAAGGAATTAATGTTTACCTAACTCATACACTGAGATAAAGACTTTCAAAATACCAGGAGGTCCATAAGAGCTGAGGGGGGGGAAAGGCAATATACATCAGAAATTTTTAGAGAAATTCTTTGGAAATATTAAGAGTTCAGTGAATTCCCTAATTGGCATCAGAATCACCTTTGGGATTTATAAAAAATACATGGATTTTACTTCAGAGACTCTAATTCAGTAAGCCATGGTTAGGTCCCAGGAATTTCTATTTCTTCGATATTCACTAAATTATTGTGAAACCCATCTAGGTTTAGAACTCCTGAGACAGAATTGCTAACGTCCTTTCCAAACTAAGCATTCCTGTGATGGCATAGAATTTCAGACATATGTAAACTTCTCTGGGGGAGGAAAAAAACCACCTTTACTTTTACTAATACTGACTGGTATTTAGCATTTCCTTCAACTGTGAGTTTGGGTAACAAAATTCAAATATTAACAATTTCTATGACTTTGCTGCACACAGA